GACTAATATGGGCCCTCTTCAAAATAAAGTAGACAAATAAAAAATTATGGGCCCTCCTCAAAACAAAGTGGCCAATAAGAAAGTTATAAGCCATTTTTCAAAACAAAAAGGCCAAACAAGATATTATGGGCCTTCTTTAAAATAAAATAGAAGAAACTTAAAAAAAAAAAAATGTAATCAATGCCTCCTTCTCTAAGTCTCCTTGGACATGGGGCATTGGGGGGCAAATGATGGGTTAAGCCCAAGTAGTCCAATTTATGTATTAAAGCCCAACTCCGGTTGAGGAGCCCAACCTCATCGTGAATCCACCAAGCCAAAGGAGCCCAAGGCCGGTCAGACTTCTTGCTTAGCACGTCACCAAGAGGAGAGCACGGAAAGTTTATCTGCACCGCCTTAAGGAACCAAGGTCGGTTAGACTTCTTGCTTAGCACGTCACCAAGAGGAGAGCACGGGAAGTTTATCTGCACCGCCTTAAGGAGCCCAAGGCCGGTTAGACTTCTTGCTCAGCACATCACCAAGAAGAGAGCACGGGAAGCTTATCCGCACCACCGAAGGAAGGAAACGGTCCAATCATTGACCACGTTTCAAGAAGAGCTCCCCAACCTCTTCCTTCCGTTGAGGATAAGTCGTGATCTCCACCAAAGATAATCTCTAAGCTGCGATAAAGAAGCCTTGAGGATATGTCATGATCTCCACAAGAATGATCTCTTATCTACTATAAAATGGCTCTAATCTGGGAGAGAAAGGAACACATGCTCCATCAGAGACTTACCAAAGACGAATCGACTTCCGAAGATTACTATTTTTTCTTTGATTCTCCATTCTCTCTCTCAAAAGCTTGTATCTCCATTCTCCATACCTTTGAATCAATAAAATACCCGGCGACTGAAGCCATTGAAGAGTGGACGTAGGTCGAATTGACCGAACCACTATAGATTGTGTCTTCTTTTAATTCCTTCGTTGATTTTATTGCATTTATTATCTATACTTGACAGGTGGTGTGCAAAATCATTTTTGTGCATCATCACTTGTCAAACACATATTATGTTTTAAATATATATATACTAATCATAACTCGTGTCTGAAGACACGATAAAATATAAAATTTGAGCATCTAAAAAATCGATCGTATTATATTAAATTTTTTCAAAATATATTAACTATAAATTAATAAAATATTAAATAATTAAATATATGATAGAAATGAGTGATGTGATATTTTTAGGGAGGAAATATATAAATGATTAAATATGTGATAGAAATTAGTGATGTAATTTGACGTTTGAGTCTGAAAAAAGGATGATTGGTGAGATAAGTGATTGATAATGGTTTGAAGGAGAAAATATGACTAGGATAAAATTCAAACACACTCATGTGTTTATTATATATAGAGAGAAAGAGAGAGAAAGAGAGAGAAACTGCAAGAATAAAGGCCTTTTGTGACAAATTTTTTACGGCTGCTGTGTTTGCTGTCACAAAAGACGTATTTGAGACAATTTTTTGTGACGACTATGTTTGTCATCACAAAAAGCGTGTTTGTGTTAATATTTGTGGCATCTATTTTTTCTGCCGTAAAATAGTATTATAAACTCAAAAGAAATTTTTGTATTTGAGACAACCGTTTTTCCTATCTCAAATAATATTTTATAAATTCAAAAGAATTTTTTATATTTATGACAGCTACTTTTCCCATCGTATATAATATTTCATAAAACATTAAAATATTGTTTTAGATTAAAAAATATTTTATAGTTTAAAGAATAAAAACTCTAAAAAAAATTTGTATTGACCACAACTATTTTATTTTATAAAATTACGTAGTTTAACATTAAAAGACAATTTCTAGTTCAAAGAAAAAAAAATTAAACTCTACAAAGACAAGTTTTTATATCAAAACTAGGGGTATCAAAATACGACACGACCTGTTAACACGGCATAAAATTAGTAAGTTTGAGTATTTCTTAAGCCATCTGTTTAATAAACAAGTATATCCGTTACGATACAATTATAAACAAATTATGTATTGGTGAAACCAGTTAGAAAAAAATGTATACGATATGACTCGTTTATATACCATTTACATAATTGGACAAGTCATTCAGAGAATTATTGCGTGACCCTCTATTGATGTATATTCTAACTTCTTTTAATTTTTTATTGTTCAACAATAATTATATATTATTTCAGTATTATAATAATAATTTTATATTTTTTTCAGATGTCACTGAAATAATAGATAGTTCAAGAAGGATATTCAATTTTTTCCATTAATTTCTTGTACTTATAGATCGTTATGTTTTTTCTATATATTAAATTAGGTAGTTGTATGAATACGAATGAATATTTGGTCTAATGATATTTTTTACATTGTGAAAGCTTTGTCATCTTGAAGTTAAGGGTTCAAGTGTCATTTCCCCTCCCCCACCAAAAAATAAAAAAAAATTATATGGAATGTATATATGCACAAGGTATATAATATTGATTACAAACGGTCCATAATAATTAAAAAAAAAAATTTTGTGGCGGCATCGTTACTGTCATAAATATATCTTATATTTTTTATGATAGTCAACTATGGTATTTGAGGCAGCACTTTTGTCGCTGTGATAAAAATAAAAGTGTCGAATTTTTGTGACAACTTATTTACAACAGGATCTTGCCGCCGTAAATATTATTTGAGACAGACCGTTTCTGCCGTAAAAATTTTTTAAGATCACACTTATTATGGCGAGGTAATGCCGTCATAAAAAATATTTGTGACGGTAAATAGGTCTTTTATGACACTATTTTATCGCTGTAAAAACCCTTTTTTTCCTTGTAGTGAGACTCACATGCTACCGCTATAATAGCTACAAGCAAACATCCAAATCATGGGAAAAATCTATCTTGAGGCAAAAAAAATTAGAGGCAGCATTGGCATCTATTCTTTCTCCCACTCCAAGAATCTTTTGAACTATTCTAAACTCCTGTAGTTCCCTTTTCCCCCAACCTTTTCCGGGGATTTTGTGCTGTTTTAGTTGAAGAAAACTTATTCCAAGTTCCGAACGAAGTTTCTAATAGCTTCTTTTTAGATCTCACCTTGACAACATTGACTTTTTTTCCGCAAAAAGATGACATTGGTAAAACAAATATACATATTTATTATGCTTTTCTGCTTTGTTGGTGCAACATGCAATTGTTAACTAAAAGGTTGATTGAAAGTGCCTTTAATTTCTTAATTTGGGCGATGAACACCACGTTATTGAACAAGAACACCGCATTCGATGTAAGGATGTCAATTGAGTGATATATATTGTGGCCCATTCGGATCATGTATTTTTAGTTCGTATTAAGTACATCTTAATCATCCAATTTTTCTAATTAATTATACCCAGTAATCATATACTAATCCAACTTATATATTAATCATATCTAGCTCAAGTTGACACACATAACTAATGAACCGGATGGATTTTCTAACACTAAAAATCTAAACAATCCAAAATTTACAAAATCAAATAAAAAATTATGTTTGTTATCTCTACAAGCTAAGCATGTTTATCGGGTTAAAACTAACCATGTAATTCATTTTTCGACATTAGCACAAACCTTTTATTATTCGCATTGGCAGTTCACATAGTTTTCGAATACTTGTCGCGACTATTAACCTTGAACCACTAATTTCGTGAAAAATTCATGTCATATATATACTACCCCGAGGGAGGGGGTACAAAAATGACTGTAAGATTAGCGCCCAGTTCATTGAAAGTGTGAATTACCCAAAGTACTGGCGTATATTGAAACATTTATATGTGTAATTAATATGTTTGGTTTAGTTTCCTAACCTCGAGAATGCGTGTTGGGCCAGCCAGACAGGGCATCCTTTTTCAGAAAAAAAAATGGAAGCATCTAAGTCAAGAAAAACATTTGGAACTTCTAGGAATAATCAATCACCACTCCACAACCCAGCCCATAATTAATAAAGCTCGGACAAAGTCACATGCCTCTCAAGTATTACACTCCCAAACTTGTTTTAGCCTCGAGTTATAGTAAATGATTGCTACCTCAAAATCTGATTTATTACTCTAATTTGATGATATAATAAATGATATGAACTCATTAAAAAGCCTATTATTATAATTCTATAAGTCAGTGTAACATTACTCCGTTCATTAATACTATTTTAGTGTATAAGACACAGAAACAACAATTGTATACATGGTTATAACTCAAAGACCTAAAAGTTCCATGACCCAAAAAAGAAAAAAAAAACAAGACCTAAAAGTTGAACCACAGGACCCTTTGTGTGTTCCTAAATTTGACCATAGTTACTTTTCAGCTGTTCGCCTTTTTCGGATACTAGACCTCATGAAAAACTTGCTGACAGTTCTGAAAATTGCAGAGTGAGAGAGAGAGAGGACAGCTCAAAGAAATAACTTGGCTGTCCATTACTTTTGATAATATCTGAAGACCTTGTCAAACAATAATACTATTTAAATTTAATTTATAAATATAATTTATTGACGTAAAATATTGTAGCCATTGGATTAAGAGCAAATTCAAAAAAATATTAGAACTTATTATCAATTTAATGATTATAACAAATTAAGTTTAAACAATATTGTTATCGTGAAAAATTAAAATTATCTCCGGTTAAACATGAGCATGAAGCATATTAGAGTGTTCACTATTCCTATAGTTTAGTAAGGACCACAGTGTGTTGACACTACACCAATTAGTACAAAGTACAAACATAACAATTTCACAGCAGGTACAGGAGAAGAACACTGCAATGGAAGCAAGAGCATTAATTCCTTCCCTCCTTTTTTTTCTCGCCATTGTTAAACTGCCCATAAACTCATTAAACCTTGACTGAAAAAGCAAAAGCTTTGCTACCATGTATTTTGATACAGAGGAAGAGAGAGAAAGAACAAAAAGTGATAACAGAAGCAACTTACACATATCTGTTCGGTTGAATTCTAGCTAAATACCATTAGAATCAAACAGTAGGAAAGCTCTGGTTAGTTGTGAAGAGGATTGGGACCTGTATGAACTCTTCTCTTATCATCTCCATACAACTTGTCAGAATCTTTGTCGTCCGTGCCGGAAAACTTAGTCGGCGAAGCTGCAGGAAATGATACTGTGTGGAAAAACTGGCTTTTTCTTGCAGGAGCTAAACGGATGGACCGACCAATGTTGTCTTGTTGAGCACAAGATGGACATAACTGAATGAAAATTAAGATTACACAGAGGAGGAACACCGAAATTCTAGCTGTATTATGCCTTCTTCTTCCTCCTTTTGTTCTTTCTCCTTCAATATAAACTGTCATTGCACCAACTAAAGTAGTGGCTGCTGTGCTAGTACTGCTTTAGACCATCCTAGAGAATCAATACCATTAAAGGTTTGACTAATTACGCAGTGTTGAGTAAGGGAAATAGCTGTTGCCCGTTGTGACTTTTGATATTCTTGTATCACTTAGGAATCTCAAAACCCTCTTTTGTGTTTGTTGAGAGAGAGAGAGAGAGAGTGAGAGTGACTTAGAGATAGAGAAGTTCTATGCTCCGTATCTTAAGGGTATAGTCACATGATCTTGACCTTGATTGCTGGAAACTTCTTATGTATATCTTATTTCGCTTCTGAATCTTCGAACTCTGCACCTTTTACTAATTTTACCTAAACAACATTGTTGTGACATATATAGTATATATTAATTCGCTTTTGGCACCTTTCATTATTCACTATTTGCACTTACACGCGCACACACACATATATATACTATATATATATATGAGGGTGGGGAGTGGAACTGTTGAAAATTAATAACCGTTGTCTGCGGAATATTTAAAGAGCAATGCTTCAAAGAGCTTAGTTAGGGATCTAATCTGACGATCTAATGATGTAGCTTCAATGTAATTATTGAATTAGTTTTGAATTTCAATGTTATATGAAACACATAACCAATCTAATAGTTGTACATTATTATGTCTCTAAATTAAATCTAAATAACATTTTCCATATTTAAAACTTGTAAATCTGCAAAAGATGGAGTGCGGCATTTATAAAATTTGATGGTATGTTACGTATACTACCACTTTCTTTGGCTTTTCACAACAACTTTTTTGAGTTTTACTTAATTGTAATACATCTGGATCCAAATGTCCCCTCATTCTCCTCCCAGTTCATTTTTATCTTGTATCCATTGGTTCCTTTTTCTGTTGGTCAGTCGGTAAAGCTAGGGCTTTGACTTGTTCATGCAGGAGCCGCTGCCTCTCTCTCTCTCTCTCTCTCTCTCTCACACACACACACACACACACACACACAACTAAAATCCATCAACTTTCATGTAGGAAAACTATTTTACCGAAAATGTTGAAGCTTGAGGTCTCCAAAAACCATCTGCAATGGGTTTTACCATGCAAATGAGCTTTCAGATTTCCCTTTCTGAGTTTTAGATCAAGGGTAATAGTATAGTTACCAAATTATTTTAACAAATCTTCATTTAAAATGATGTAAAATAATTTTTCATCATCAGATAAATAGATCTCATAAATATTTAATGATCAATATTGTGTCACAACATTTAGAATAAAAAAATTTAATAAACATAACATTTTCTTTAGATTAAACAAAGCTAAATTGAAAACTTGTGATTTGTAGAAGTTGTCACTTGTCATGCCATTTGTAGTCATGACAGGACTGTATCACTGACAGCATGTAAATTAATACGGATTTAATTACGGTACCGAAAGTTTTTTTCGATATCATGCCACTTATTATTTGTAATTTTTAAAAAAGCATTATGCTTACCAAAAAAAAATTTAATAAATCTTCATACCAAATGATATAGCACAATTTCCGTCATTGAATATTTATTAATGGATCTATTTATCTAATGGTGAAAAACTTTGTCACATCATTTAAAATGGAGATTTGACAAAAAATATTTGATAAACATAACATTATTGGGTTTTTTTTTTTTGGTATGTATACTACTTTTTTGCTGAAATTTACTAATTTTTTGAGTTCACTTACTTTGTGACTTCCCTTATCACTTTATAGATAGAGTTTTATGACTTTGTTGGTAGAACTTACTATTTTTTAGGATGGGGGATAGTCGATGAGGTGCGTGTAAATTGATCCAAATATTTATGATGGTTAAACTCCAAAAAAAAAATACTATTTTTTAGGATTTTTTTATCAAAATTTTATTTTTTGGTATAATAATGTTTTACAATTAATACACAGGGATCAGCTGTATGTATGATTTCTATACAATTTGTGGCTTGCGTCGAAAGCTCTTGCTAAGCCCTTTTTTTTTTGTAAAAGTTTCACCGATAAAATTATATTATTGAGGAAGATCAGAAAAAAAAAGAGGCATAACAAGGTCTGATGTCTGTTCCAATCATACAACACTATTATTTAATAATAGAACAAAATGAGTTAATTCATGAGCTACTTTATTTCTATTGCGGCGAACCTCAGACACTTCAAAATAATAAAAGCTACTCCCTATGCTATTAATGTCCTGTAAAATGGCATCGAGAGGATCAAGATCCACCACACAACCCCCAATAGATTGCATGACGTCTGAAGAATTCCCTTCCAATATAACTTCTGGCAGCTCTAGTTGCATTGCAAATTGGATTGCTATTCTCACTGCTATAGTTTCTGCTTGACGAAGATCAGAGCTTATTTCCATCCTTTTAGACAAAGCTCCTATAAAGTAACCTCGGTCATCTCTTATAATTATCCTCACTCCTAAGACATTTAAGTCTCTAAACACAATTGCGTCGAAATTCACCTTGCATGTAACCGTTTTCGAAAGACACCATCCAATATTGGGGTTTGGCATTGGATCAAAACTGAGCTGAGTTACTGCCTCCATATACTGCCTGTGGTATTCTATTGCCTTCATATGCGCTTCAGTCGGATCTTGAATCATGTTTTCAAAAATACAAGTGTTTTTATTTCTCTATACAAACCAGAAACTGAATAAGAAACATTGAGAAGTTATCGGGTTTAATGGTCTGAGCCACAGCCCAGACTCAGAAGCTAAAATCTAGACAACTGATTTTAACGTGCTAAGCGCTTTTTAATATAGCAAGGTAGTTAAGACTTAATTTTAGGACTTAATATGAGTTCTAATTCATTATGGGCATTAAATTATTTTATTTTATTTTTTTATGGGCACTAAATTAGCGGTGGGTATTAGCATTAAATAAAGTTCCTTATAAATCGAACAATCACGATGTATTAGGTCTTAAATTTTTTATTTTTGCAGTCAACATTAGGACCTAAATAGATTTTCAAGTTAAGAACAAACAACATTATTGCTTTTTAAAGCACATATAAAACACAAGTCATTGTTTTGATTAAGATGTATATCTGCTCTCTCTCTCTCTCTCTCTCTCACCACCAAATCCATAGCACACTCTGGCATTAGGATCATTGGACATCCCAATTTTGCAGCACTATTTTTCCCTCCAATTGAGGGTGTTAAATGTACCAAAAAATTAAAGATTTTGATGATCTTTGTGTCCTATAAAATATGATTAATTGCAAAGGAAATCAAGATTTTTTTTTTTTGATACTAAACGATCAGATGATATATTAATCAGACGAATGCGAATCAGATTGGACAAAAACAAAGGTGTCTCCTTCCTACATAGCGTAGGTTCATTACAATTAATAGCAAACCTAGCCAAACTATAAGCAGGAACATTCCGACATTGCCTTACCCAAGAAAGAGACCAAGCAGTCAAATTCTTCGCATATATTTCGAGTAGATCCGTAGTGACGAGCCCAGATTTAATTGGGTCAGACCCAGTAAATTAAGCAAGCTCAGATCCACTAGGAATGCAACCCAAGTCTGGTTCATCAATCCAGCCTAGTCCAAGATTCAAGGAGTCCGAGAAGATAAGAGCACGTGAGAGAGAGATTATCGGGATACACACTCACGAAGATCAATCCTACCTTAATTGTACTTACCATTTGTAACTATCCTCCGTGAAGAAGTAGTACTCTCACACTCACGTCACTGCTTCACCATGCCAATAAATTGTGAGTCCTCTCCACATAGGAGGACACATCTTGGCATCTCACCACACCTCTCTACACCGCCCTACATACACTTTCTCTCTCTCCTAGCTATTGTATTTTTCCCAGAGATAACCATTGCTTTCTTTTTTGTCCACTTTACTTGATCAATAAAAATCCCCCCGCCACTGTTGTCGTTTCTGAGAGTGGAGTAGGTCACTCGAACCAAACTACTATATATATGTGTGTTTATTCAATATTTATATTACTTCCATTGGATGTTTTATTAATTATCTCATTAATTACACCCCGTCACACACTCGACTTTTGATCTTGTACAAGACTATTTTGTGCATCATCAGTTTGGTGTCGTCTGTGGGAGATGACTAATTTTTATGCCACCTTGTTACTCACGACCAGGTCGATGAGTCAACAACCAGGAGACAACAACCCGGCCCCCCAGCTCCCGCAACCTCGGAACTATCCACTGCGGTGACTCCCGTGGTCGAGCCCAGACCATGCAGTTGTTGATAAACCAAAACCAACAAATCGTTCAATTGATGCTCACCTAGGAAAGCATCGTCTCTCAACCCGTAGGAGGAGCACCACTCCCTCCAATTGGAGAAACACATCAAGCTCTCTATGTTGGGCTCCAAGCAACCCTGTACGATGGGGCCCCTCGCCAGAATGCCCCCAGGCAACGCTAGGGTGCCCTTTGCCCAGCAGTCCCTCCTCAACGCGTAGGAAGCTCACATGTTCCCCCTCTTCATGTACCTGCGCAGGAGGAAGAAGGAGAAAGCCAATATGCCAATCATGGAAAACAGTACAATAACCCGACGTAGGATGTCCCCAACCAATGGGAGGAGAAGATCAGAGAAGTGCAAAATTAACTCGGTGATGCCCTCAACGCCATCAAGGTACAGGCGCCCAAGACGGTGGATTACTTGGTAAGGCGCACTGATACCCCATTCGTTAGATTCATTGTTAATTAGCCCTTACTCTCGAAGTTCAAAATACTTACCATCAAGATCTTCGATAGTACCAAGGACCCTCTGAATCATCTTGACACATATAAGTCTCTCGTGCAACTCCACAACGTGTCTGATGAGATCATATGTAGAACCTTTCCCACCACCTTAAAAGGGTCTACTTTCCAATGGTTCGTAAAGATCAAACCCTCCTATATCCACTCTTTCGCAGAGCTGAGTAAATCTTTCGTCGCCCACTTCATTGGGGGACGCCGACAGCAGAAGTCTGTTACCCACCTGCTCACCATTAAGCAGGACATAGATGAAAAGCCTTACGAGCTACCTCACTCGTTTCAACGAGGAGGCTCTCCAGATCGAGGAGCCAGACGATAAGGTAGCCCTAGTCGCCTTTATCGTTGGTCTGCGCTCCTCCAGCTTTATGTTCTCTGTTCTCAAGAAGCCGCCCTCTCGAGCTACTATCTAGGGTACAAAATTACATGAACACTGAGAATGTCACTAAGGCATGGCGATAGTGTTATCAGAACTAAACTGGACCGGTTAATGACCCAAGACCTTAACCGATCTAGTTCTCTAGTTGGACCGGATAAAAACCAAAAAATCGGCCAAATTTTGTAAAAAAACCGTGAACTGGACGATGTTTAAAAATCGGACGGTTTGATGCAATAAGGACACAACCCCCTTCCCTTCGTCTGATAACACTAATTAATTTTTTTGATCCAAAAATCACTGAAGCACAAATTCAAAAAACACACCAGCTGATCAGAGAATAAAGCCTTAAATTGAACACACTAGCTGATCAATTCTTTTTGCCCTAAATTGCTGAAACATAGTCCAATGCCTTCAAAAAAGCAGCTGATCAAAGAATAAAGCCCTAAATTGAACACATCAGCTAATCAATTCTTTTTGCCCTAAATCACTGAAGCACAATCCAATGCCTTCATAAAAGTAGCTGATCAGAGAATAAAGCCCTAAATTGAATACACCAGTTGATCGATTTTTTTTGCCCTAAATTGCTGAAGCACAGTCCAATGCCTTCATAAGACCATCTTCTTAGAGCATCTTCTTATCCCAATTTCCAAAAAATCAACATCATCCCTTCAACAGGCAAATTGAGTTCAGCCGAAAGCTAGGGGATGATATAGTGATGGAAAGAGAGAAATGAAATGAAAGAGATGAAAGCTGGGGGATGAAACATTTATAGCTGATTTTTTTTTTTACCTTATTCTGGGATAAATTATAAATGACACCCTTTTTTTTCTTTATAATTTACATCAACCTCTTTACTTTGCTTTAAAATACAATAACCCTCACTTTGTTACTTAACTTCATTAATTTTATGGCTAATTGTATGTATTTTAGACATATTTTATATTGTTTAGCTAAATTATTATGTTTTATAATTATTACATATTTTTTTTATTTTTTTATTATATGACCGTCCGACCAGTTGACCCAACGGTTGAATCAGTGAACCATTGACCTGGTCCCCTTGCCAGTTCAATGACTGGTCCGGTTCTGATAACATTGTCCGGTGAGGTAAGTCCTCCAGAGAAGGAGAAAAAAGGAAGGACACCCGCAAACACAAGCGAGAGATGAAGAACAAGAGACAGAGAATCGAGAGAGTCTCTATCAAAGACCGTCTCAGTCCAGTACACCAGAGAAAATGGCAACCCTTCACGCCACTCAACGCCTCGGTGGAGCATATCTTGTTCTAGATACAGGATGACCCCACGCTCCACTAGCCCGAAAAAATGAAGTTCCCCTTGAACTGTAGGAGCCTGAACAAGTACTATCGTTTCCACTATGACCACGACCATGATACGTACTGACGACTGCTTTGATCTTAAAGGCAGATCGAGGAGCTCATACAGCATGGTCTGTTGAGGTAGTACATTGCTAGGATAGGACAAGCCCCGCCACCTGGTCGGGACCAGGACGACAGAAAATGCTAGCAACCATTTGAAAAAATTCAAACAATCTCTTGAGGGCTAAGAGGAGGAGGTGACTCTAACTCCGCCAGGAAAGTCTTGGCCCACCTATGGGACAGCAAACACCAAAAAATTTTATCTATCTTTTATTGTTTCAATTGATTTATTTTATTATTTATTATTTTATGAAATAAAATTCTATGAAGATTATTGTGTACATAACTGTCTTGCTTTCATTTCATAAAGTCTGTAAATAGCTTACAAAAGTCAGAACATGACCTAACAATAAGGTAGACAAAAAGGCAAAAGTCGTCATATTCCTAACAATCAGTCACTACTCTCTGAGCCATTATCATCAAGGCTCTTTTTGTCATCGTTTACCCCTGATGCCTCATATGGGATGAAGCCAGAGAAATCAATAACAAGGAAAGCTGTCAAGCCCTTCATAACCATTAGTAAAGGTGTGGCCCTCTCAGCAGCCTCCCTCTTCATCTCCATCTCAATGAAATGAGTCTCTGCCATGGCAGCCCTCTCCCGAGCTATACGTAGCTCGGCCTCAGCTCTGGTGGCCCTCTCGCGGGGCGCTTACAGCTCTGACTCTATTCTCGTACAGACAATCTTATTAGTATCCAACTTTGAGCTCTCTTGTGAGTCACAAAAAAAATTGGCCTAATCCTATCTCTACTCTCGAGCAACCTCAATCTCCAACTTAACAGCTCTTTCATAAGTTGCCAAAAGTTCAACCATAAGAGGTGTTACTCTCTCATGAGCCAACCTTAACTGCTCTTAGCAACCCCCATGTCTACCTCTCTATTACCAGATCCCTGAATGCCTCGCGAAGCTTGATCGTCCTTGAAAAAGGCAGGGATAAGCGATAGCCACTTGCAAGCATTCAAAAAGTAGAACATAAAGGAAAAAGGTCAGTACAAAATCAAAGTTGAGAAGTGAGGCATACTGTGGAAGACCCTTCCATCGCGGTATTGGTAATGCCCCTTGAACCTCGAGATCTAACCTCTCTGATATCCCTGGGAGTCATAGACCTTCAAAGCCACTCCTTGACCAAAGACAAGTCAAAACATAGACACCGAGCTACTATTAGAAATATAATAGCTATGTGGAGCTACAGTCCCTATAGATGACTGCACAAGGGTGAACTCTGGTACACACAAAAGTCCCCGTTTGGGAAAGCGTGGGGGCACCACTGGATCCCATTCTCGGGAATTAACTTGGCCATCGGACCTCAGCCAAAAAACACTAGGGCATCAAACCTCGTCCTCTTGAGAAGAGGGGAAAATGTTGTCTTAGAAGCATAGAAAACCTTCACCTCTATTGTCGTTCTATCAATGAGAGCGGTTATAATCAAAGACAAGGTTAAGGACCAGCATAGCCAAAAGTCATCATAGTCTCCCTCTGACAAAAATCCAGAACACCAACCCATCGCCCATGAATGCCTAACAGTTGTCTACCAGAACGCAGCTTCCCACCACCGTTGGTTTTACTAATTTGTGTTTAAAACTCAAGTTCAGAGAGATAAAAGCATTTTTTGGAAAAATTTGGTGACCAAATTGCTTTCATCAGTTTGTATGTCATAGATCTCAAAAAAATACCCAGATTCAAAAAAAAAATTCGCCTTAAATGGACAACTAAGCGCAAAGTTATGGTCGTTCAAAGTTTTGTCGTGTCAACGCTCGTGCGAAAAACCTTAGGCGTCGCCCAGCTGCCCAAGTGCATCAACCTATCCCTGTTCAGCATCGCCTTCCATGAGCTCACCGCCTCTAGACACGCTGTGGACTTTGACCCCTTGCTCTCAACCCAAAGTGGCGCAGCCTGAATCGATGTCTATGCCCAGGGTGCTGCCTCCAACGAAGCCAACGCCTTCCTCCTGGGTGTCTCCCTCTTGGGCACCTCCCCTTTGGACACCTCTCCTTGGGCACCTCCCTCCTGAGCGCCTCCCCCTTGGGCGCCTTCCTCTTAGGCACATCCCCCTTCGGCGCCTACCTCTTAGGTGCCTCCCCCGTTAGCACCTCCCTCTTAGCCGCCTTCTTCTTGGGCTCCTCCCTCTTGGGCATCTCCGATAACCCAGCATCTCCAGCTGTAGAGGGTGTCACCCATGGAGTTGGCCCCACCTAGCACCTGGGTTCCAAATGACAAGGACGCAATGGTGTCGTTCTCCACTCCGACAGTGCTATCACTGACCACTTCTTCGTATCCCACGCCATAGGTGTGGTCGTTCACTATGTTGCCATCAGCACTAGAGATGCCGACCTTGCTGTCTTTTCTGACCACGCCAGCGATGGCTCGTTCTATGCTGCTGATCTGCCCTTCGATTTACTTAGGATTGAGGAATTCTATGATACTAGGCTTGGGGTTCCCCTTGGATTTCCCTAGCTTTGAGGGTCGAGCACAGAAGGTGATTGTCATTGTAGTGATGATACAAGATGGGGAAAGAATTTTTGCAGAAACGGAGAAGATGAAAAAGCTACCATGCGGAACAAGAAACTAAGAGCTCACTTATGCTCTCAACCCTTTTCTATCGCAAGCAATTAGGGTTTGGGGCATGGGGGCAAATGAAGAGCCCAAATCTAATTGGGTTAGATCCAATAAATCAAGCAAGCCCAGACCCACTAAGAAGGCAGCCCAAGTCCGGTTCATCAATCCAGCCCAGTCCAAGATTCAAGAAACCCGGTAAGATAAGAGCACGTGGAAGAGAGATTATCGGGATACACACTCACGAAGATCAATTCTACCTTATTTGTACTTACCATTTGTAACTATCCACCCCGAAGAAGTAGTACCCTCACACTCACGTCATCGCCTCACCATGCCTATAAATTGTGAGTCCTCTCTACATAAGAGGACACATCTTGGCATCTCACTACACCCCTCTACATACACTTTCTCTCTCTTAGCTATTGTATCTCTCTCAGAGCCAACCATTGTTATCTCTTTTTTCCACCTTGCTTGTTCAATAAAAATCCCCCAACCACTGTTGCTATTTCCTAGAGTGAAGTAAGTCACCCAAACAGAACCACTATATATCTATGTGTTGATTCAATATTTACATTACTACCATTATATGTTTTATTAATTGTCTCATTAATTGCACCCTGTCACACACTTGACTGCTGATCTTGCACGAGATTGTTTTGTGCATCATCATGTATAAATCCCAATATCTGCCAAACTTGGCTTCTTCTCCTTTAACACTTCAATTATCTCTTTAGAATCTCCCTCCAACATGATGTAAGTATAACCCATATCAATAGCCAGCTTCATTGCTTTGAAAGCCGCAATGGCTTCCACGTGAAATACACTAGAAAGTCCTCTCATAACCTGACTAAACCCAGTAATAAAAGAGCCCTCATAATCGCTGACCACTATCCCTAAACCACCCGCTTGCTCGTTGAAAACAGAGTCATCAAAATTAATTATTAGCACACTAGTAGTAGGGGGAAACAAAACATTAGAACTTACCGCAAAATCTTGAAAGCCAAATATAGAAGAATCAGATTGGGTAGCCGTGAAATGGCTTAGAAAAGTGATAGAGAAGGATGCTATCTGATCTGGAGAAAACACCTCTTCTTCCAAACATGCTCTATTCCTGTTATACCAAATCGACCATATAAGAGTAAAATACAAATCCCTCTCCTAATGTTGCAAATCTTTCATCATACAAAAGAACCAATCTTGGTAATCATAAAACGACCACCTTGGGATTTAATTTCTGAACACTACCACACCTGTTTCGTAAATGAGCAATCAAAGAAAACATGGAGCATTGTTTCGAGGGAAATCCCGCAAAAGAGAATCATTCTTAACATGGATTTTCTTTCAAAAAAGATTACACAGAGTTGGCAAAGTATCATGAAAAAACTCACCAAGCAAGAAGCTTAATTTTTTTCGTTACATTGAGCTTCCAGACTTTTCACCACTCCACTTCCCATAACTGGAAATGGTACTAGCTGCAATAGGATCATTCTTTGGACAATGTAAGCTCTGCTTAATTATCATATGATATTGTGCTCAGTGTTTTTTGCATAATAGATGAAAAGACAGATGTCTCCCTTGGTGAATTCGTATTTGCCCCGAAAGTCGATGATCTCGAGACAAAGGACAAATCCAAAATGGCCAAAAAGGGCCTAAAAAGTGGTGATGAATTGCTCCAGGGGCTATTCTATCGATTTTGGCGGGTTGTAAGATGTTCTTGACACATAAAAAACAGGTTAAAAAGGCACCAGAGTGTTTTTTAGCGTATCCCCTCTGATGATCAAGTCAGTTCTTCAAAAGAGGAGAAGAAGAAAGCATTGTTTTGTATTCTTGAGGAGTGAGTTTGCATACCTTTGCCTTGTATTTTAGAAAACTATTTATACCTCCAAAGACCATCATTACTGATGGTCTAGGCTGTAGGTAGCACCTAGACATGGGGCAATGCATCTCCTATTTTGCATGGAGGAAGCCCCATTATTAAATGCTTGCCCCCCTGAACATTTAATGCTCCTTCTTTAACGTAGAGGCATTAAATGCTCAGGTCCTGGAGCATTTAATGCTCTTTTTTCTTGGTTCTTAGAGTCATCGTGGATGTCCCATCAATTGGGGGTTCATTAAATGCTTGTCTGGAATAGTCGCATGTCAGTTGGGGTGTTTTTGTCTATTCACCTCTCAACCTGTACTTCATGTCACGTGTCTAGCTCCCCCTTGCCGAACGTCTTGTTCATTTTGTCATTCTGACTTTGTAGAGGAGGCACCCACATGATATTTATTCTAGTTTTGAGACTTGTCAGCTGTCAATCAGTAGCCTCTCCAAAAGCTGAAGACGTGTGGAAAGGCTTGAGTATAGAAAATGCCTCCGGTGCTGAGGACACGTGGTTGTCCCTCAGTGAAGGTACCCTCAGAGCCAAGGACATGTGGCTGCGTGAGAGAATGGGAGGTGCCTCGGCACCGAGGAGGTGTGTCATCACCAAAGAACAGGACTTGCCTTGGTGCCGAGGACACATGTTCGTCAAAGGGGAGGACGATCCTTGGCGTCGAGGGAACGTAGCTTCATTAGGGACAATGATGTGCCTTGGTGTCGAGGACACATATCAAAATCTTATCCTTCCTCAGAAGTGTCTCATCAACTGCCCCCAGCCCTTTGATCTTCGTACGGAATGGACACGTGTCATTGGAAGATGGAAGGGCTCACTTACCTCATCATTGCTTCAGCCATTTTTCCATCTTTGGAGATCGTGTGGATTGAATGCACCTGTCCTTGTGTTTTGTGCACAATGATGGGGACAGGGCCTATATAAACAGAGCCCTGTCTTCCCTTCGTCACTTTTGAACCTTTGGCCATCAGAGACCCTCGACAGAGAACTCGTCAGAGTGTCGCTGCTTAAAGAACCACCATTTTTTTAGTCACCGTCGAAGGAGATAAAGTCATCTCAAGCCTCCAATTAACCTTTCCAGTCTCTTTTCAGTGAGTTTTGTTCTCTTTTCATCATTTTCTTCTCCCTTTTTCATTTTTTTGGTGACTAGTCACCTTACGAGTTCCATCATCTTAGTTCTGAAACCCCTAGGATAGTCCCCTAGCCTTACCTTTTCATCGTTTTGAGTTTGGTGGTGCCCCTTAGGATTCCCATTTTAGAGAACACTTACTTGGAATCCTGCCCTCCCTTTTATATAAGATGCTGAGGAGTTTTTGTCCTGTCGCCGAGGCCCAAAAGGCTAGGAACTCCAGGCCGAGGAAGTACACGGTCAAGGGGGCTCAACAAATTACCAACTTCAGGGCCCTTTACGACATCCCTGGTAGCATCGACATACATGATTTTGACCCTCAACGTCACCATACTAGCGTCAACACCAAGGATGCCATGCCCTTTTATACCAAGGCAATTATGGAAGGCGGGATCAAATTTTCCCTCCACCCACTTCTCCTCCAATTCCTATCCCGCTTCCATCTCTTCCTGGGACAGTGTTGCCACAACGTTTTCAAAATAGTCATGGGGGTAGTGGAGCTTAATAGGTGCCTCGGGGTCAACCTAGGCCTTGAAGACATCCTCTTCTACTATTCCTTGCTGAGGGTGATGCCCTAGCAAAACTTCTATCTCAAGGCTCGAGACACCTCCATGTATCTCGTCACCCACCTTCCTGATTCCAACAAGGGGTACAAGGATAACCTGCTGGTTTTCAGCGACGCTTGGGAGAGGGGGGTTGGCCCCGAGTATGATAGCTTGTCCTGCCCCAAAGAGTGGTGAATAACAAGTACGTCGATTTTTTCCTCTCTTCTCGGCTTTATTAGCTTCTTGAACATAAAAGTACTAACGCTCTATCTTTTGTGCAGACGTTTCCAACCGCAAAGCTGCTCCTCCACCTCGGCACTTGGTTAACTTTGACGACCTTGTCATGATTTGGGGATACATCGATGAAGGGTTTGGCAGATTAGCCCACGTTTTTCTTGACTATACCCCGAGATACAAGAAGTTTTCTTAAACACCCCAACCTTACAATCCGTCGAGGTGGTTCGAGTTCTTTGAGCAAAACTTGGAGGAAGACCCGACAGGGCCATAGAAGCCGAGCTAGAGGGGGTCACTGAAAGAGGCGAAGAAGAAGCGGCAGAAGTTAGGGAACCCTCCACCATTATCCGCGCCGAGCCCAGTATGTCAGGGAGGGAGGCTTGGTTTGACTTCAACATTCTTCAAAGCCTAGACAAGGAGGATGCGCTAGAAGTAGCAATATCCCGCTGGCCTCGTCTCAATCTCAGCTATCTGAATCAGAGGGCTGCTTTGAGGGGCAGGGGATCCTCTGGCAATGTCCCCTCACCTTTTCAAGGATCAACATCAACAGTCTTCCTCCTCTTCCGATGCCGCCAAGGTCCTCTGGCCGAGACCAGGTCCATGACTGGGACCTAAAAATTGAGGAGGAGAGGAGGACTAAGCAAAGACATGATGGACTGGGTCAAGGTAGGGCCCTTCCATTACATAAACAACAGCAACAGCAACAACAATAGCAACAGAAATGAACTTCTCCTCCTCCTCTAGCATCGACGTCTTCTATTAAGGAATGGCACCCCCAGACTTGGGATCAAATGAACAGGGTGATCCAGGTCAACGACTCCATCGTCCATGATCCTCACGTGGCCTATGTCGTGAATGAGACACTTTAATTTAGTGCCGACCTAGAGGAGCACCGACCAACCAGCTATTCTGCTCGATCATCCAAGGCTCCCTGTTGGTAAGCCTTTACACTTCTTATTTTTCTCCTTGTTTTTCTATCTTGTTTACATCAGAGTGACCTCTCTTTCCTTCACAGGTTCCTCAAAAAAATCGCAGTCATCGCCAAGCACTACCATTCGTAGAGGGTGAGGCTTCAAGAATCGGATAAACTGAAGGTTGAAATCGAGGGAGCCCTTGCCACTACGAGAGAGGATGTAGCCACCAAGGATATTACCCTGTCTTCCCAGGTGGCCCAAATCGCCTAACTCCTGAAGGAGGGCGAGATAGCGAGGGGTAGCGCTGAAAAGCTAAGTGCAACCCTTGCCGATGCCAAGAGGAGGATAACCGAGGCGATTGAGAAGTTGTCTGTAGCGGAGGCTAAGGTTGAGGAATCAAAGCATACTTTTTTGAATCTCACCCAGGAACTAGATAGAGTCTAAGCATAAATAGAGGCCAACAAGAAAATAGAGCAGGAGATCGTGGACGGCTGCGCCGATGACATTGTGCTTGCCCTCGAAGAAAACAAGATAGGGTGTTTTAAGAAAGACTAGGACGAGGCGCTCAAGACTACCAGAGTCCCCACCAACTCTCTCTTGTTCCTAGAGCATGAGTATGTTCCCTCCAACAAGATGCTACCAGCTGCAGCAGAGATTGCAGTTGAAGATGTTGTCGCCAACGCCCAAGTGTCAGACTCGGCAATACCCTCCGATGCCGCAGTCTCGACCCCAACTATGGCTATTACCTAATATCCTCCTCCTGCTCCAGAATTGGCGGCGACCTCTACTTCGACTCCTATCTCTACCCTAGCTCCCCAAATCGATGCTTCTAATTCTGACTCTTCCCCTAGCATCGAAGAACTATTCGGGGATGCTAGAGGGAATGTTGGCAGCGAGGTTAATGGGCCACTGGTTGCCCTCTGGGCTAGGACTTCCAACTTTTTCTTGTAATTTTTTTTATTTGTAGTACTTCCTTTGTAGCCTGGGGGACGCAAAGCCCTCTTTTCCTTTGGAATGAAATGTCTTTGCTTCATATATTAGTGTTCTTTTCTTTTGTCTTTGCGTACTTGTAGCTTCCAACTCTAACTTCTAACTCCAAAATTCTAACTCTGAAACTCCCAAAATTCCCAAGTGCTGACCCTCGGGGCCAAAAAGCTTCGTTATTTCATAACATCTGTGCTGAGGGTACGTGTCAAAAATGGAAGGTTTGTACGACGTTCCACACCAGTGCCATGAGGGTTTTTTACGCCGAGGGCATTGAGGGACACTTTTATATTTTTACTCTGGCTAGCTTCATCTTCCTTATGGGCCAGTCTAAGGAGATGGTATCGGGTTCCATATTAGTCGATCGAACGACTTCACCGATGTACTTGTGCAAGCAGATGCCAATGTCTTGGTGAAAGGGTTAGTGCTTTCAAGCAATGCACCAGATGAGTACCCTTTTTCAGGGTCATTTTCCATTCAGGAGGCATGCTCCTGCCATCTAGTTGAAGGATGCGGGCTCCTAGTTTTTGGTTTAGAGGTAGGAATTCCTGAGACTCTGCCCTTAGAGCGTTTCCAAGAGGCATGTTTCTGTCCTTATTAGGGGTAGGAGTCCCTGAGACTCTGCCCCCAGAGCCATGCCCCTTCTAGGAGGCATGCTCATGTCCTCATTTGGGGACAGGAGTCCCTAAGACTCTGCCCCCAAGGTCATGCCCTTTCCAGGACAATTCACTTTGGATAAAAATGAGTCCTTGTATCTAAAAGTAGTTGTACTTTAAATTCATTACATTCCATGGTCGTATTACAACATTTTCTTCCATGTTTTCTAGCTTATATGACGCAG